CAGTCCACGAGAGATATATTCTCTTAACCTGATAAGAAAATCCACGAAAGGTACTTCGTAAATAAATCTTAACCTGATGTGACAATCAGAGGTAAAATTACTATACGTGATATGACAATCCATGAGATATATTGATCATTTCTAATCCTGATGTGACAATCCACGAGAGGTATACTCTCTAAACCTGATACGACAAGCCACGAAATATGTAATGTATAATCTCCAAACGTGATGTGACAATCCACGAGAGGTACAATGAATAATCTCTAAACGTGATGTGACAATCCACGAGAGCTATGATGAATTATCTCTTAACGTGATGTAACGACCCACGAGAGGTACAATGAATAATCTCTAAACGTGATGTGACAATCCACGAGATGTACAATGAATAATCTCTAAACGTGATGTGACAATCCACGAGAGGTGAAATGAATAATCTCTAAACGTGATGTGACAATCCACGAGAGCTATGATGAATTATCTCTTAACGTGATGTAAAGACCCACGAGAGGTAAAATTACTAAACGTGATATGACAATCCATGAGAGGGACAATGCATATTCTCTAAACATGATGTAATGACCCACGAGAGGTAAAATTATTTAACATGACATGACAATCCATGAGATATATTGATCATTTCTAATCCTGATGTGACAAGCCACGAGAGGTACAATGAATAATCTCTAAACGTGATGTGACAATCCACGAAATGTACAATGCATAATCTCTCAACCTGATGTGGCAATCCACGAGAGGTAAAGTCATTTAACTTTATATGACAATCCACGAGATATATCATCTCTCATCCTGATGTAACAAAAAGATACACTGGTATGCTTGTCGCCACATTTTACAACTAAAAAATAAAATAAAATAAAATAAAATTCATTTGCTGTATAATTCTTTATTTATTTCACGAGGATAACGAACAGCCCAAGGGCTACTAGTCGTTTTCCTCACATTTAACAAACAAGTGAACGGTACAACATTTACATTATTAACATACAGTACAAAATACAGGAAATGCACACCCACACACAACACACCTACACACACACACACACACACACACACACACACACACACACACACACAAACAGCCAAGAAAGACAGAAACAGACAGAGAGAGGGAGAGAGAGACAGAGATAGGATGAGAGGGAAAGACAGACAGGCAGACAGAGAAAGCGAGGGAAAGAGGGGAGGGGGAAGAGACAGGCAGGCAGACAGACAGAGAGTCTACTTGAATATATTACTTCTCCTCGATAAATTTAAAGACAGACTGAAAAATTTGGGTATTTGTCTGTTGTTGAGGAGAGTTTGAGTCGTTAATAAGTAATGTACAGAGCTGATCAGGTATTAAATTAAGGACAGTGTCTGGATTTGCGTTTGGTGATATAATTCTAGATACAGTTTGTAATAGGGTATGTCTGACATTCTGGTATTTTGGACAGTAAAGAAAGAAATGCTTTTCGTCTTCAATCAAATTTAAACAGTTATCACAGTACTTATTGGGTGTGAGATTGTATGAAAATCTGTGTTAGTTAAGATCATTTAGTCCCATTCGTATACGTGCATGATTTATTTTGTGTTTGCCATGGCTATATGAAAAGATGGAATTTCGTTAAGTATCTGAAGATTTTAGAGAATTTAGAAATAGTTGTAAGCTTCCGGTGTATTCATTTGCTGTATCAGTTTACAATTCATTCGTTATATAAGTTAACAATTTATTTGTTGTGTAACTATACAACTCATTTGTTGTATAAACTTACTATGTATTCGTTTTATAAGTTTACACTTTATTTGTTGTATAAGTTTACAATTCATTTGCTGTGCAACTATACAACTCATTTGTTGTACAAACTTACAATTTATTCGTTTTATAAGTTTACACTTTATTTGTTGTGTAAATATATAACTCATTTGTTGGGTACGTTTACAATTCATTAATGTATAAGTATATAACTGAGTCAGCTGACCAAGTTCTGGTCTGTTTTTGTCCAAATATGTGTCCACGACAAACACTGGCGTTGTACTACCTGTTCTTGTTCGCGTTGCTTTTCAAACATAGATACGTATATATTAATTTATATTCAATCTTAATTAAATCTACAACAAAGACAATTATTAATATATGATTGAAATATGCCGACCTTTTTATTGATTCTGTAATTTAATTTGAAACATTATAAATTAATGTTAATAAGTTGAAATGTAGTCTGCCGCATTGTAATACTCAACTAGTATGAATTATATAGCTTATTGTGTGATCCTGTCATAGGCTCCACCCTACATCTGTGTGGTCCAGACACCGTACCAATACGACGGGTCACGCGTTTTTCGCTCCGACACACTCGTCCTGTATGACGTGAAACCCAACCGTAACTTACAGCTTGGAATGCAGATGTCTGCTGGAGTCGTATGCTATACTCTAACGTTACGTTGTGTCGATGACGCGAATGTGACCCGGGTATGTTTCTGCTCATGAGAAATATCTCATAAAATATCTAATATGGGCTATATCATATGTACATATTTTTGATAGAAATATGCTGATAAAACCTATTTGGTATCTCACCAAAATTAATACTCCACAACAAAAGCCTCCTTTCACGACTACTTATTCTCAAGTATCCAGGTCCGCGGTCGTACCACAGACATGCCGAGAATGGGGCCATACTCCCCAATACGTCCCTGATGCATTCTCCCCATATAACATCACCATACACGTTAAATACTGTGAAATAGTGTCACCTATAGTAGAGGAGTCTTGAAACGGACTTGCTCTTAATATACACTCATACCTTCAGACCTACCCTATCAGTCATATATACCCTAGTCAGATCTACCCTATATATACCCTAGTCAGATCTACCCTATATATACCATAGTCAGATCTACCCTATCTATATACACAGACCTACCTTATATATAAGGCATACCTACCCTATGTATACAGTCAGATCTACCCTATATATACACAGTCAGACCTACCCTATATATACCATAGTCAGACCTACCCTATATATACACAGACCTACCTTATATATAAGGCATACCTACCCTATGTATACAGTCAGATCTACCCTATATATACACAGTCAGATCTACCCTATATACAGTCAGATCTACCCTATATATCCAGTCAGACCTAACTTGTATATATATACAGACCTACCCTATGTATACAGTCAGACCTACCCTATATATACACAGTCAGATCTACCCTATATATACAGTCAGATCTACCCTATATATACAGTCGGACCCACCCTATATATATATATACAGACCTACCCTATGTATACAGTCAGACCTACCCTATATATACACAGACAGACCTACCCTATATATACACAGACAGACCTACCCTATATATATATACAGACCTACCCTATATATATATACAGACCTACCCTATATATACAGTCAGACCTACCCTATGTATACAGTCAGACCTACCCTAAATATCCAGTCAGACCTACCCTAAATATAAGTCATACCTACCCTATGTATATATACATACCTACCCTATGTGTATATATACATACATACCCTTTGTATACAGTCAGACCTACCCTATATATACAGTCAAACCTACCCTATATATGCAGTCATACCTACCTTACATATAAGTCATACCTACCCTATGTATATATGCAGACCTACCCTATGTATACAGACAGACCTACCCTATATATACAGTCATACCTACCCTGTATACACAGTCATACCTACCTTATATAATCTTGACATTTTGTTGATTTATCGCCAAAAAGAAGCGTTAAACTTCGTATGAATCAGCAGTAAAACAACTGATTTGATCGACGTTTGGTGGAATTTATTGGGCCAATACAAAGTGCTAGTTACAACATGTAAATCTCCTCTACACTCAAACACTACGCATCCTAACATTATCGCCTCGTACACAAGCCTGGTTACTGTACCCTAGATCGCCGAGGAATACAGGCCTGTTTACCCTAGATCGCCGAGGAACACAGGCCTGTTTACCCTTGATCGCCGAGGTACACAAGCCTTTTACCGTACCCTGATCGCCGAGGTACACAAGTCTGTTAACCGTATCCTTGATCGCCGAGGTAAACAGGTCTCTTTACCATACCCTAGATCACCGAGGTAAACAACCTGTTAACTGTACCTTTGATCACCAAGGTACACAAGTCTTCCTACCGTACCGTTGATCACCAAGGTACACAAGTCTTCCTACCGTACCGTTGATCGCCGAGGTACACAGGCCTGTTTACTGTACCATTGATCTCTGAAGTACACAGGCCTGTTTACTGTACCCTTGATCGCCGAGGTACACGAGTCTGTTAATTGTACCTTTGATCGCCGAGGTACACAAGCCTGTTTACCATACCTTTGATCGCCGAGGTACACAAGCCTGTTGACCAATTCACAAGCCAGTTTACCGTACCCTTGTGACATGCATATTAATAAACATATATGACATACACAGACCAATAACCCTTCGATAAACAAACCTTTAACCCTAGGTGATAAACAAACGTATAACCCTACGTGATATACAAACGTATAACCCTACGGTATTAACATACATCATACCACTACCTGGTCCACACAACAGTAACACGATTTGCTACCCTTAAATGTACACATCAAACGAATTACGTTACATACACACAATGTGACATACTTCCTTTGTCACTGGGGTTATCCATAAAGCAGGTCTCCTTATTTAGGTATTTATGACTAAGGTTTTAGACGACAGTCGCAGGTTAATTGGAAATATCGATACGTTTGGAAGTATATATGTTTACGGTTAAATCAATTAAGTTGGTGTGACCGCAGTCGATATTGGTCCTTACCGACGCGTGACATGTATAGAAGACCGGTATAGGTGTGATGGCTAACCCTTCTATATAGACTCACGTCAGCATCTCAACAGGGTGACCAGGTAGGGCGAACAGGAAGTGTCGTACACACGCAGTAACGGAGGTAAATAAGCGTATACATACCTGCTTTGCATGGATCCATATATAGATCGGAGGAGGTTTTGTGAGGTATATTCCGCTTCAAGCGTTTGTTGTACAAATGTGGATAGGAATACATCGACACACCAACTATTCTATCCAAGTAAAGAGTTAACATTGACAAAGTAACACATAGCACGTGTTTAACGTTCATTTTGATCGTGATGTATTGTCTTCCTAGTACATACGGCACTAATAGCTATAAAACAAATCGTATCACATATAACGAAGATATATTATATCATAAAATGATATCAACACATAAGAAATGTAAACATTAGAAAATATCCCCAACACGTCACGTCTCGGGCTCGCGTGCTGTACAGGACGGAATGTCTTTTCTCACACAGTTGTATATTTCTCAGGAGAGTTTCATCTTTGCACTGTAGTAGTGATGTCCGTATACATACGCCGACTGTACACCTCCTACTACGGGAGCAGCACCACACTGCCTCAGTCCGCCTCCGAGCTCTGTACCTCGTCCTGTCTGCCGCTCTGCTTACATACCGGACAACGAACCAAACGCACCCGCGCTTGTTCAATCAACTGTGTCCCTCTGTCAATATTCATAAAAACCAACCAATGACAGACTAAAGTCACTCATACTCATTCGGGGTGCTATAACTCCTTTGAATTAAGATAATTGAAAGAATTGCAACATACAAAGAAAATGATAAGTCACACGTGGAATGGACACGCGCACCATTATACGCTAATTTCCTCGTTCGTTCGGACACTATATCGTTCGGACACTATATCGTTCGGACACTATATCGTTTGGACACTATATCGTTCGGACACTATATCGTTTGGACACTATATCGTTCGGACACTATATCGTTTGGACACTATATCGTTTGGACGGGCATACAAATCAGTTTCCATAACTTTTGCGGTACTATTGACTTTACTTTCTTAATTTATTTAGCCCTTAATTACTGAGATTATCCGTTCAGATAAGGTCGATATTTAGTTTGAAAAAATAAAACTGCGTCTGATACAAATACCAAATATTGTGTAAAATTATCTAAATACCAGACAACGGCATGTTTTGTCCATCTGGTAAATTTTATTCTCCCTCGTGTACGTTTGCCATTTTCATTAAATGCGTAGTGGAATTATTATGAGGAACGCTGCCCTAGAAAACGAGCCCCCCTGGGAACAGGTGCCCGAGTCTGTGGCGTGATTACATTGGTACATAACTTCTCCGACACAGAATCGGAGATCTAACACTAATACTGGGACAGTGGGCGTGTCGTATGACCGGGGGTTGTGTGCCCTGTGGGGAGTGGGCATTGTGTCCGAACACTGTGGGACAATTAGTGGTCTAACTCTGAACCAAAGGAATAGAACCCCTACAGAAATGTCGCGGCTTTCTCGTAGTCATGTGTTACTTTACCACCTAGACTAGTTTCTTTCTGCAGAGAACAAGTATATTATGAAAGCTGGACTTAATCTAAAGAAAGCTAATCCGCCAATGATCTGTTGAGAAAGCGTGATTTCAACTGTGTTTACTAATTGTATGGTTCATAAGGTCAAAACCCAGTTTGTAGTCATAAGTACGACTCGCTGGTCACTGCTTTAGGGTCCAGCTTACTGGCTAACGTACAGGGACTTTACTGTCAGATGTCAGGGGCTCAGTAGAGCTGCTGTCTGCTTGGAGTAAAACTTAGTGTCGTTGTGAGTAAAGTGCTACAGGAAACACATATTTGCGCTTTATATATTAATCAGAATGTATTAATGATAGACTCTCCTCGTCGAAGAAGAATTTATGATACTCTCCTTCGATGTTTTTTTCATCAAAAAGTGTATTACTCCGAAGGGAAATGAATGTCTCAAATCTAATTAGTAAAACTGTAATGATTGATTAATCAAGATATGTAACAATGCGTACAAATAGAGCAGACAGACACACTGCTTGGTGGAGGAGGAGTTAGTTACGTGTAGATGGTTCTCTGGCCACGGCATACGACATGCAACACACGTGTGGCCTATTTCCCACTGGATTACGTCTAGACGATCTATACGATGCATGCGCATGCTTGTTGTGTTTCCACGTGTAAAAGATAATAAAAAGCAGACATTCCAATTAGTGGAATCTAATTAATAAGCTATAAAACTGGCTTTAAAATCTTGTAAAACACTATTTGAATTAAAAATTAACCAAAAATCAATAATCACATTAACACAAAAGGCGTAAGTCGATTTCTGTACAATACCGTTGTATCATATCAACACGTGACGTACAACCAAAATCATGTCAACTCCTGAGGAATAACCATATCATGTCAACTCCTGAGGAATAACCATACCATGTCAACTCCTGAGGAATAACCATATCATGTCAACTCATGAGGAATTACCATATCATGTCAACTCATGAGAAATAACCATATCATGTCAACTCATGAGAAATAACCATATCATGTCAACTCATGAGAAATAACCATACCATGTCAACTCCTGTGGAATAACCATATCATGTCAACTCATGAGAAATAACCATATCATGTCAACTCCTGAGGAATAAGCATATCATGTCAACTCCTGAGGTATAGCTATTTGACGTCAAATCCTTGGTTACAGCTATATCATATCACCTCCTTGGGTATAGCTAAATCATGTCAACTCCTGAAGTACAGCTATATCAGGTCAATACCTGAGGTATAGCTATATCATGTCAACACCTGAAGTACAGCTATATCAGGTCAATATCTGAGGTATAGCTATATCATGTCAACTCCTGAAGTACAGCTATATCATGTCAATACCTGACGTATAGCTATATCATATACTTGAAGTACAGCTAAATCACGTCAACACCTGTAATGAAATAATATCACGTCAATTCCTGAGGTTTAGCTTCATCATGTCAACTCATTGGGTACAGCCATATCATGTCAACTCCTGAGGTATCGCTATATCATGTCAATACCTGAGGTATAGCTATATCATGTCAATACCTGAGATATAGCTATATGATATACTTGAAGTACAGCTATATCACGTCAACACATGTAATGAAATAATATCACGTCAATTCCTGAGGTTTAGTTTCATCATGTCAACTCCTTGGGTACAGCCATATCATGTCAACTCCTGAGGTATCGCTATATCATGTCAATACCTGAGGTATAGCTATATCATATCCTTGAAGTACAGCTATATCACGTTAACACATGTAATGGAATAATATCACGTCAATTCCTGAGGTTTAGCTTCATCATGTCAACTCATTGGGTACAGCCATATCATGTCAACTCCTGAGGTATAGCTATATCATGTCAATACCTGAGGTATAGCTATATCATGTCAATACCTGAGGTATAGCTATATCATATACTTGAAGTACAGCTATATCACGTCAACACATGTAATGGAATAATATCACGTCAATTCCTGAGGTTTAGCTTCATCAAGTCAACGCCTTGGGTATAGCCATATCATGTCAACTCCTGAGGTATAGCTATATCATGTCAATACCTGAGGTATAGCTATATCATGTCAATACCTGAGGTATAGCCATATCATGTCAATTCCTGAGGTTTAGCTTCATCAAGTCAACGCCTTGGGTATAGCCATATCATGTACACTCCTGAAGTACAGCAATAACATGTCAACTCCTGAAGTACAGCAATATCATGTCAACTCCTGAGGTAAAACTTAACCATTTAAACTCTTGAAGTATAGTTATAATTTGTCAACTCCAGCAGTAAAACTGTGTCATGTCAACTCCTGAAATGAAGTAATATTATGCCAACTCCTTGGGTAAAGCTATATCATGTCAACTCCTTGGGTAAGCCATATCCTGTCAATACCTGAGGAATAGCTATATCCTGTCAACACCTGAAGTACAGCTATATCCTGTCAACACCTGAAGTACAGTTATATCATGTCAATACCTGAAGTACAGTTATATCATGTCAATACCTGTAATGAAATAGTATCAAGTCAATTCCTGAGGTATAGCAATATCATGTCAACTCCTTGGGTAAGCTATATCATGTCAACTCCTTGGGTAAGCTATGTCATGTCAACTCCTTGGGTAAGCTATATCATGTCAACTCCTTGGGTAAGCTATATCATGTCAACTCCTTGGTTACAGCCATAAAATGTCAACACATTGGGTAAGCCATATCATGTCAACTCCTTGGGTAAGCCATATCATGTCAACACCTGATTTACACCCGTTTCATGTTAATACCTGAAGTATAGCTAAATCATGACAATAAGGCAGGCGATGGCGAAACAACACGATGTAGCGGTTGAATGACAATACGACGGAGAAGATTCGAGATAAAAGTCAGATTGGTTTCAGGAATAAATATTTTAAAATGAGGCTAATAGTTATAAAACCTGTCTGGTAGTTTTGTCTTCCGTTTTGAAAACCTCTCCTCTGACTTGTGACGATACTGATGGAAGTTTTGAAAACTAAAATATTAAAAAAATGACTATCTCAGCAACTACCGACGCCGATGGTTACCCGAGTCGGCACAGTCGTGTTTTGTTTGGTTAGTACATACATGTTGAAACATTTATTTTAAGGCTTCACGAGGTAAATCTCGAGTCCAATTCCTGTCACACTATCCGCTGTATTTAGTCCGACCAGATTCGGCGTAGTGTGACAGTCAGCGAGATGTTAACGAGACTCTGTCGCCGTCGCGGTCTGTCGCTTCGAATTTGTTTTGTTATGTAATGGTGCAGTTGGCGTTTGTTTATTAATACAGGAGGTAGCCCGAGGAACTACAGTTAAAATCGGGTCGTGAACAGGGTGAGGAGAGGGGTATCTGGTGGTGATGCTGTGCACACTGTGGCAGACAGGGCGGTGAGACGGCCTCCCGTACACCTGTAACTGTGTAACCTTGATCGCTACTTACTGTAATCAGCCATCTAAACAATATCATTTCATTCGAATTACTTTTTTGCCTAGATCGTCTCCCTGTCTGCCTGCGTCCGCTCTCGGTCCTATCCGATGGCGTTAGAGCGTGTATCTACAATGTCAATAACAAACAATTATGTGTTCCCCGAACCCTCCTATCGGAAAACACGAGATATCGGAGCAGTTCGTACTTAAAGCGGATTTCGAAAGAAAAGCGTGACTATACCATGTGCAGTTAGACGTTGTTAGCTGATCAGTGTACTCTACGCTCAGTTCAAGGGTGACATTGAAAATAAGTTAGTCCTCCTTAAATTTAAATCATAACTAGTCTTTATAGTCTTACGAGAGAACACACGACTGCACTAATAGGAATGTGGGTACGAGAACGTCAAACAGATCCGTGACGTCAAGGCGGAGTTAATACGCCCAGTCCTCTTTTTGAACTGCGCAACAAGCTTGTGAGAGTAGATTCCTACAACGTACGTTTTGCTCTCTGGTGGCGAGGCAGTGCGCCAAGCAGGATACGTTCAAAATGTATCAACATAGAAGCATACACGGAATATTTCATTTTTTGTATTTCTTAGATAACCCCCCCCCCCCCCCCCCCCCCCAC